AGCAATCTGAATTTGCCAGTAACCTGATTTGAAATCAAATTTTAAGAAGATACAGGCGTTAGCCAGTCTATCCAAAAGGTTTCTTTTATTTAGGATCAGATATCTGATCCATCTAAAAACTTTGTTGAGTGGTTTATAATTTATGACCAACCTAGGAGCTCTTCTTTCTATTTCAGAGGTATTTTCAACATAAAAGGCTGAGCAACTCCAGGGTGATGCACTTTTTCTTATAAGCTTTTTATCTATTAATTCTTTTATTTCCTTTTTACAGATCTCAAGTAGCTTATTGTTCATTTGAATAGGCGTTGCTTTAGTAGGAATTTTTTCCTCTTGAAAATCCGGTTCATAAGAAAGTTCAACAATATGTTGTTTTCTATCCCAAAAAGCATTAGGGATATCGGCGCATATGTTCTTTCCAATATTTATTTTTAGAGATTTAATTTTATTTTGTATCTTGGGAAGTAGTAATTTTTCTTCTATATTTTTATATTTTATTTCTTCTTTTAGATGGTAAAAAACATTTTCTTTAGAAGAAATTTTATCCCTAATATTATTAATCCATGGATTCTAGGCTTGTTAATAAAAGTGAATTTAACCTTATGTCCTTCAATATTATCTTTTATCCATGTGCCATCAATTTTAATTGGATAGAGCATGTTTAAAAATGGGGTTCCTAGAATAACAGGTTGACTTAAACCTTTTACCATTATGAAAGGGAATCTGAAACAAGCACCATTATTGCATACTGCAGCATCTAATAGCTTGTAATTAATAAGCATTCTACTACCATCAACAGTATTTAGTACTTGGGTAGTTTTGCTAAAGTATTTTGTCGGTACTAACCCTTCATTTATGCAATCCAAGTCAGCTCCTGAGTCTATCAGGACAGTAGTTTGAAAACTGTATTCCTTTTGTACTACAATTTGATGTTAGTAAACCTTTTTTGGGTTATTATTTTATCAACCAGGTTTACAAACTTGCAATTCTGGACCTTTTCTAACATATTCATATTAGCTTTAGAGGTCTTAGATTCTTCCTTTGTTTTAGGAAGGGTATCCTCCACTTTAGGTGGTAAGGGAATATTATATTCAATTACTAGATTATCAAATTCTTATTCTATGTTTTCATCTTCAAGTTCTTCTTTAGGAGGTCAATTCTAGGATTTGAGCCCTTGTTTTTAGAGTTATTAACTCGTTTCTTACCTTATTTATTTCATGTTTTAAGTCAGAGATTGAGGGTTCCCTATCAACCTGGGTTTTGTTTTGCACTCTTCTAAGGATATCATGAAAACTATAATCTTCTTTTGTCAGAACAAGAGAAGATCTTGCCTTTTCAGATGGAGTTTTGGACATGTTGATATATTGAACTAAGGCTTCCCTTTTAGCCTCTAGATCCGTTATTTTGTCAATAAGATCTATAATCAGATCTTCTTCTTTTGTAAGAGTGTTGTTACTTAACCCATTCATATCAATGGCTGCCTTGTAAAAATTACATTGACAATTTTCTTCTTTTGGATTATTTTCATCATCAGAGTATGAATCAGAACTATTAATGATAATATCTTCATCATCACTGATTTCTCCAATTAACATTTCATTTTCTGAATCAGAAGTTTCTTCTTTTATTTGGAGTATCTCAAATAATTGGGTTTTAAGACTATTATCTATTTCTAGAGAGTTAATTTTCTTTTTAACTCTACATTTATTTTTGTAATGTCCTGCTTTGCCACAATTATAACAAACATGAATTTTTCTTTTTCCCTTATTTTTAAAGGATGGTTTGTCTTGTAAAAATTTCCTAGAAAATTTTTCTCTTTTCTTTGAAGATTGTTTAAAATTTTTCTTTCTGAAATTTTCATGCTTTTCTTTACGAAAGGGTTTTGAAGGGGGTAGGGTATTATAACCAAACTGTTCACAAAAATCTCCTAACTCTTTTCTCCCCGTTATTCTTTGTTTTTCCAATTGTCTACAAAGCTTTAGATCTGTACATAATGCTAGACTTTCAGCACAGATTTCAGTTGATAGTTCTTCTAGGATATACAGAGAATAAGGAATAATTCCACTATGCTTATTTTTAAGCCTTGTTTTTACCTTTTCTGCAAAAAGGTGTGGTAAGTCCAACTATAAATTTTTATTTCCAATGGTTTGATTTACTATACTCTCTTGATAGTAATCTTGAGAAAAATACATCTTTATGCCATTTATAATGAGAGAGTATAGGACATCTTAGATTTGATAACAAATTTTCTGATCTTGCTACCAACAAAGCAGTGCTTCCTACGAAATGGAGGGTGATTGTATATATTAGTGTATTGATTACATCTTCTTCTTGGATTATATTGTCTTGGCCAGTTTCATTCTTGACTAGTCATTGTTTTGAGGCATTCACTATTTGATTTTTAGATTTTTCATCCATATGAAACTCCCACCAACCTCTTAACCATCCTGTAAATCCACATATTATGGCCTTGGCTATCTCGTGGTCTTGATTTTCACTCGCCTTGCAAGCAGTGGCATACATAGTCATGTGTTTCATAAGATCAAATATTTGATTTTCAACCATGCCGTCTATATTCCGATTTACTATGGATTTCCCTGAATAGGAGACCGAGGTAGAAATTAGATCTTCTTCTATTTGAAGATCTACTGCGGTTGGTCTAAGATAGTACATTATGGTTTGGGATACTGGTCTAATTTTTCTCCCATAATCAATTCTATTAACTTCTAAGCTTTCTATTTTAAAAGATTTTTCTATATCAAAAATTTCTTGTTCAGGTTCCTTTTGTAATACTTGAATATCTTCTTCCTTGGCTTTAGAAGACTGACATTTCTCTCTTTCATTGAGTTTCAATTTTTCCAATCTTTTAACCAATTCATCAACTAATTCCCTATTGTCTTCTTTTTTCTTTATTCCTTATAAGCTAAACTTTCCTGTCTCAATAGTTGGAGGAGGTTTAAACAGAACAACCTCTTTTTGTTTACCAATTTTTTTATCTTCTGCAGTTGGTTCTAAATTATTAACTGCATTTTCTATTCTTGTAGCTTGCTTTCCTATTGTTTGGAGGAAAACATTTGTATAACTATTTTGTTCAATAATATGTGGTATTCCTTCAAGCTTGGCCATATTATGGTCAGCTTCTTTAGGTCCTATTTTAAAGGGTGAGGCTTTAACTTCAATTTTCTCCCCGAACTTGTAAGCTAGTCTCAAGGGGATGAATAAACTCAATTGTCTCTCCTTTCGTGGTTTAAAAAGTCTGAAAAGATTTTTCAACCGTATTTATTTCAAATTTTGGAATTTTTATTCCATAGTCTTAAGGTATGTATTTTAACCATTTAAAGAATTTGAAATTTGCCTTATATTTTATCATTAACCTGTTAAATTTTAAATGGAAGGCATCCCAAAGAGGTTCTTTAAACTCTTTGAAGAACCATTCGCTTATTTTTCTATTTTCTTCAGAGAAGAAATCCTTTTTGATCCATTCTTTATCAATTTTGAATTCTTCTTCCTTCTGTACCACACATATATCAAAACCAAATTCAACAACCAGTCTACAGAGTAGACACTCCAGAATCTTTTGAATTAGGATACCTATATATCAAAACCAAGTTCAACAACCATTCTATATATATGGGTTTTGTTAGCCTACATTACTTGGAGGTGTAAACCCTTAAAGTGCTCAATATTTTTTGACACTAAAATACCCTTGAATTGTAATATATATAGTCGTGGGAGGCAAGGCACACAGGGGATAGG